AGGTCCCTTCCAACCCAAACCATTCTGTGATTCTGTGAATAGATGTAGCATCCATGCATAGATTTTTACCCAGAGCCATGTATCTCAGAGCAGGTTATTTCTAACAGAAGTCTTATGATGGTTGCCACACACACATACAGACGTTTACCCCTCAGCAAAAAATGTCTTTAAAATGTATGTTTACACAAAGGAGTGAGCAATATGTACATTTTATTATCCTGTCTCAATGCACAGCAGACCAGACAGCCATCTGCACTCTTCATCTCCTCTCTGAGTTTGCCAGAGCTACCAGGAGCTGTGCTTTTATCTTGCCTGGGGCAGTTTGCAAATTCATCATCTACTTTTCTTTTCCCTACTTCGCACATCTGTGGTTTCCCCCTATTTTTTCCTTGCCTTCTCCTATCTGAGGTCACTTTTAAATCTCTTGGTCTCTTTTTTTCAGAAACTGCCTGTTCCTCCTTGCCCCTGTTGCTTCCTTGCTCCTCCTTGTTGCTGTCATTATCCGATTTTCACATTTTCCCATCTGCTGTAACAATTTCATCCTTTCTCACTTGAAAGAGGCATATCGCCAAACACCCTGTTTGATGCGTGAACACAAAACGAGGAGAGAAATGATGCACTACAACCATCGACTGATTCAGGGTCTGTACACAAACCAGCATTTCAAGAGTAGCTGGATGTGGGCTTAAGGGGGAGTTGGGTGTGATATAAGCCGAAGAGGGAGAGATGCAAACAGAAAGAGTCTAAGACAAACCTGTGAACAGTAACTGAGCTGTCTGATGTCTCTCCCCCCATCCATCTTGCTGGCAGGTCTAGGACTGCGGCGGGGGCATCTCAGGGAAGAGTGACCTGGCATCCCTCAGCTGGAGAACAGGATGCCTGGATCGCAGTGAGGAAGGGAATACAGTGCTGAAAATTCTGCTCTCAAAAGAATGAAAACAAAGCAAATGAACAGAAAAGAGAAAAACATAAAACAGAAGAGCTAAGAGATACTAATGAGTTAGGGGCGTGTGCTGGCTTGCCACAGAGATGCTTCTCCTTCAGCGTGTGTTTAAAATCTTACATTTAATGCGGCTTTTTTTTTTTTTTTCACTTGAGTATTTGGGAGGAAAGCTGATAGGACAACTGAACATCTCCTTATATCCTTGCAAGAGGAGCTTGAAAGCTTTCTCCTTTTTCTGATCTCATGAGCAGAGGAAGCGGGGGAGAGCCTCCCTTTGAACAGGTGGTACAGCATGAGTTCCACGGCCAGCCAAAGCCATCCCCAGGAGGAGGGGTGGCTCAGGACCTCGTAGTCCCATCTACTCAGATTTCTAGAGCTGCATGGGATTCTCTGGTAGCATGGCTTGTTCCCCTTTGACAGGACAGGGGTTTAGGTAAGGCTAAGTGATACCCAGGCCCTACTCAAGGCTCAGTGTTGTATACTTCAGATGCTGGCCTCTGCCTAGCAGAGCGTTTTACCACAATGTGAATGAAAAACTGCCTTTTTTTTTAAAAAAAAAAAAAGCTAATCAAATACATGGCTCCACTTCCAAGTGCTAGCTATTTTTAAAAAAGTACTTGAAGCAATACACAAATCTCAGGGCTTTGTACCTGTTTCATTTCCTTGTAATAAGCCTGTAGACCAGATTCTGGTCCATAATTCTGTTCTAATTGCCATGGTGTAGAACCAGTGATTTCAGAGTTACTACAGTGGGATAATTAAAACAGAATGGGGCGGAATCCTCTTATGTATATGTATGCACTGTGTATGTTACATTTAGCTTTTACATTATGTTGTACTACATCTGTTGTCTGGAAAGTGCCAGTAAATCAAGGTTTTAAATAAGCCCATTTGTGGTGTAGCATCTTACTGTTTCATAGTATGCAGCATGCAGCTATTACTGGTACAGTTATAATGAAATCAGAAAGGCAACAGAAATGCTGAGGTCTTGAAAGGAAGTCTTTTCTGAATAGAAAAACAAGTAAGAATGAGCAATAGCGTAATCTGTAAAATATGGTTTCTTTGATGAGTGTGACTCTCACCTTCTTCTAGGAGAACGGGTTGGATTATGAAGCCTGTCTTGTCGCTCAGTGTGATGCCTTGGTCGATGCGTTAACGCGACAGAAGGCAAAACTGCTCACAAAGGTGACCAAAGAACGTGAGCACAAGCTGAAGGTGAGCACAACTCTCATCAGCTGAGCACGGCTGCTGATACTTGATGTTACTGTGCATTTTGTCAAGTCCCCAGCCCTTTAGACCATGAAAATTCCTAGTCATCAAATCCTGAAGTCCTTTAGCAGGTTCCAGTTCAGCAGTTTAGTGGAACTGTGCTTATACACTTAAAATAAGGCATATACTTCAGCAGTTTGTTGAATCAGGCCATCAGTCTTTATTTATGTGATGGTTTGGGGCTGTCTTTCGAGAGGCGCTTATCAGTGAAACCTGTATGTGGTCTGCATCCTGGGACCTTCTGCCCAAGTAAAATGTTGGGATTTTGGTGTCTCTTCAAACCTTTGACATTCGGGCAAGTCACCTCCAGAAGTGCCTGTGCCACTCAAAAGATAATGAAATGCAAAAAAGGGGAGCGGGGAGAAGAAAGCTATAAATGGTTGAACAAAGTGGCAGTCAAGAAATGTTTAAATAGACACATTTCTTGAAATGTTGAAGTGCATATGCGATTTTGAAGTGTTATAGTGCCAGTAACATTAGTAGTATCTAAGACAGAAGGAAAAATTGAAGTGAAATATCTAACATGGCAAGCAATGAATACAATCTACCTGAGATCAGCATTTAAAAACCTCCGTGCTTAACAAGAACCAACAAGAAGCAACACCTAAGAGCAGAGTTAATCCTGCAGTTTATTCCTGTCAGGAGTTGTGCTGTCGAACACAGTGCTATTAGGCTTAGCCTACAGCCATGTGGCAGCAGAATCAAGTCCACAATCTGGAAAAATGAGATGTGGCTTTTTTATTTCTTAGTCCCAGCAACGCATTCTTAAGCAGTGCAGAATCAATGGTGAATTGTGAAGAGAATGGTAGAGTATAATCTGCAAGAAACCACTCCTGCAGTTATCCTCTATAATATTTGCCTTTTAAGTGAAAGATTTTTTAAAAGATCAGATTTTAGTGAAAGTGTGATTGTAAATGTGAATACTGCAAATGCAGAAACGTGTTCTGTGCTGTTTCTGCCCCAAGCAAGTCTGATCTTTGAGCAGTTAATCTGCTCTGAAAATTGAGATTCCCTGTGCACAACATTTTGCCAAGCTAATTATCGGTATTTACAATACAGAGCAAGTGAGTGTAGCTGATGGAGATACGGCAATGGCCATATGGCAGCTAAATTAAGCATAACTTTAACACACTCTTCCATTCGTTGTCTTTTCTGAACTAATCTTACACAATTCACTATAAGCTGGGGCAGTCATCAGAACTGTACCAATGCTTGTTTTCCAGGTTGTTTGGGACCAGATAAATCACTGTACACTGAAGCTACGCCAGTCAACAGGGCTCATGGAATACTGCCTAGAAGTTATCAAAGAAAATGATCCCTCTGGGTTTTTACAGGTATTTTTCTTTCCGATGTTCTGGAGAAAAAAAAAGAAAATATGTTAAAGATATATCTAAAACTGGACAGCTTTGCTAATTAGCCTCCTCCACCTCTGAGGCAGATTCACCTTAACTCCTGTTAGTACTGTCTGAAAGCTCAGGTAGCCTGGTGACTGCAGAAATGTCCCAGCGAAGGGATGGCTTTGAACATCCACACTCTGACCGAGGTGTGGAGTTAGCGGTCACACCACTTCCCTGACTGCTGACGTCTTTCCTCTTGCCAGCCCTTCCTTCTGGGCCAAAAGAGAGATCCTGTTCAGTTAACAATAACTTTCTGCAGAATATTATTTTATTCTCATCTGAGATATACCCAACACAGGGCCTCGCAGAGCTCTCTGATCAATTTGGAAAGGTCTGTGACTCAGCAGAGTAGTACTTCTCCCCTCTTTGCTTCTCCCCTTTGCATTATTCTTTGCACGTGAGAGTGTCCTTTCAACACCCCCCCTGTGAGGAAATCCAGCCTTAAGGGCTTGCGTGTAGCTTTGCTTCACTGGGGTTGTCGCACCTCACAGGGGTCTCACGGGGACCGCACCACACAGACCTGTCTTGTATCTGGAGAATCCAGGTACCCTTCTTTGCAAAATATAGCCTAGCCAACAATTGCCTTAATTTGCAGGATATTGTTGCTTAGGTGCAAGCAGTCACAGTTTCTATTGGTGAGATAAAACGTAGCAGTTTTATTATCCAATTAATTATTTTGCCTAATTAATTCTATTATTTGTATTAATTATTTTATTTTGCCCTATTAGTTTTGTTGCCTTATTAATCACCTAAGAAGAAAGGCACATCAAACAAAACGATCTGCACATGGCTGTCAGCTGAACAGGGCACGCTGCACACATGAATGCATGAATGTCAGGGGGCTGTCACAGCATCCCTAAAAAAACAGGATGAGAATTAGCCGACTTATACCTATTGGCACTCCAGATTGATTGTTACGGTCGCGTCTGGTCTCAAGCAAGAGTGAGGAGTGTGTGGTTTATATTAATCTCAAGACTACGCAGATTTTAGCAGGCTGTCAGTTGGATAGTGCAGGACAAATGAAACCTTTAGGTCTTACCTACGTGCTAGCAAGATACATGCTTAGTTTTCATTTCAGCTTACTTTTCCTGCAACATTTGTGGCTTCATTCTCTGCAGCCACTTTTTACAAAAAAAAATACTTTTGTTTTACCTTTTCCTGGTTTATCTAATGATGCTTTCAAGGCAACCAACAAACACTGAGGCGCTGCATTACTTAGAGCGACTGCTTCTGCAGCCAGGACGTTGAAACACAGCCAAGGGATCCATCATCCCTGGAAGTGACTCCAAGGTTGTAGGAAGGCTATGAGCTGTTCTTCCACCTACTGCACAGACTGAATTGGAGCTGTTGATGCAGGGGCTCAGACAGGAGTGTCTTCCAGTAACAGTAATGAGGAAAGGTATCTGAACTCCTGCAATAAAGAAAAACTCTCTCTGACCTAGCCAGAAGAAAATTCTGCTCCCTGTGACTTACAGGAAGCTCACTAACAGGGACAGTTGAGTTCATTGATTTCCACAGAGCCAGGATTTCACTTCCAGAAGAGTTCGTTGGAATCATCGTAGTCTGACTTTTGGCCTAACTGTCTGTGGGCTGGGCTTTAAGCTTTAAAAATGAAATTCAGTTTTGATGTAATGATAGAAAATCCATCATATTCTTCGAAAATCTATCTGACAAGTTAGCACCCTCACTGTGATAAATACACACCCTCCTTCCCATTTGATTTTTTTATTCCTTTCAGCTTTCATCCTCTGAATCATCTCTGCTGAATGGAGACACCCTCTAACATTTAGGCCTCTCTTTGTGCAACTGCTTTTTAAACAGGAGAGGAAAACTAGACTGTGCAGAGAACAGAGTGCAGAGATATATGTGATATTCAGAGGCATGATATGTAATATAATCTTAATAGGCTTTATAAACGCATTTTTTACTTTCCTATCCTAAGATGGGATTTGTTTTGAAAAGACAAGATGAAAGGATGCCACATAAGTGGACCTCACCCCAAAATGACCAGATCCCATCTCAGCTCTTGTGCTGTCGTATTCCTGATTTCTTCACACTGTATCTCACTGGCATTCTGTCACTTTTAATGTGTGCATCTGCCATTTCCTTATAAGCCTGATACTCTCTTTCAGATTTCGGATGCTTTAATCAAGCGTGTTCAGGTATCTCAGGAACAGTGGGTCAAAGGAGCCTTGGAGCCAAAAGTGTCTGCTGAGTTTGACTTGACTCTGGATAGCGAACCTTTACTCCAGTCGATTCACCAGCTGGATTTTATTCAGATGAAATGTAGGGGTGAGCTTTTATGATTTTCTGTTTTTCGTGCATGTGTTGAAACAGTGCTGGAAGGGATGGGGGGAGGAAAGAGGAATGACTTGAAATTGCTGGATAGTTTTAAAAGGTTTTCAAACAAATTCAGATTACTGGGTGTTTCCTAGAAAGGTGTACTCACCTCACATGCAGTGACCTGAACAAGCTCACACAGAGATACCAGATGCAGCTAAAGATTTGAAACGATAAATTCTTTAGAGTAGGGCTGTCTGTCAGGTTTTAAGATTAAAAAGACATTAGCTGCATGAAACTTTATGCCATTTTACAGCATTCAAAATACCAGTTACCCCTGTCTTGTCAGGAACAGCTGAAGTAGTTAAGTAGATATTCACACACACAGAAATATGCTTGAATAGGGAAGAAAAAACCCTTTGACTTTTATCTGGACTGTGCTGTGAACAGTGCCCAGCTTAAAAAAAAAAATCATGAGGCAGAGATTCACATGGGGAAAGTAACTCCATGGCTGTACCCTTCCTTGGTTCCAGGTATCTGAATCATTCTGAGGAACACTTTAAAGGGACAGGAGATTAAAAAAAAGTATTTAAAAGCAGAAGCTGATGAACAGTAGATGCCATTGGCAAAAAAAAGTATTAACACTATGCGCTTGTAATGAGCTTGGTTTATATGGAGCAGGATGAGAACTGCATCAGAATTAGCTAGATCCATAGACCGGCTAGATTTGAAGGCCATTGTGGTCTCTGGGAATGGTGCCATTAGCTTCCCTCGGTGGTGATTCAAGCCTTAATTACACGTGTGGGCAACAGGGTGGAGGCTGCTGGAAGTCAATGAATGAGTTAAGGATAATCGTGTCGTGATGTCGGGTGTGCTTTTTTTTGACTCCAAACAAGCATACAGATTTCTCTTCAGTTTGTCTTTTCTCTCTGCGCCTAATTCTGAACTTAAGAGACCCAAGATGAAGTAATTAGGGTGGATAATTGGACAGATAAATATGTGGAGAAACAATGGATAAACAGTTAAAGGCCAAAGTCTGCTCACCAAGAACGGTTTGCATCTTGGCATAAATGGTCGGTGTTAAAGTTACTCAAAAAACACCTGTGAACTGCTCCTTTGAAATGTTGACAGCCAGGAAAGCAGAGTCAAGAGAGCGAGAGTATCACTGATAAAACTTCTCCGAATACTGTCTGCGCTTGTCTTTTTAAATCAGTTTATATTTAATGCTAGCCAAATTTATTGTTAAATATATTTAATACTAATCTTCCACCTCTCTCCTTCCCAAACATACAGAAAATTTAGTTAAACTATCCACTTAGATTGCTAATTAACCACAGGTCACTTGAGGTGCGAGCAGCTTAGGTATTTGGCTTTTGGACATTCGTCTGGCTTTAAGCTTGAAGGCTTACGAGACTTTAATTGAACCAGATTCACTAGAGCTTTATGAAAGATAGTGCTGTCTGCTACGCTCTCATTTATCATACGATCGCAGTGAAGCTCTGGTACTGAGCTAGACACAGTCTGAGGAGCAGAGAACAGGACTGCTTCTGCCCAGACCTGTGCAAAGCTTACGAACACCCTTGGGCTTTGCTCCCCAGAGACACCTTAACCTCAGGCACCTCAGGAAGGGCTTTTCCTTGAGCTGTCTTGGCCTTGGCCAGGGACTACCTGGTGCATGTCCCATCAGGTTGGGCCACTGACTGGTCCCAAGCTAACATTCATAGGTATTGAGTATTGTTTAGTATATAGAGATGTATTTATATTTTTCAGTTTATGACAGTGAATCTATTTGCATTTGAACTGCTCAGTTTGACACTTTGGCATTTTTTTTCTGGAATTTTAGCTCTATGACCTCAACCAGCTCTGCGTTATCTTCTCATGCATGGAGATCTTACATTTAGAAATACAGGTACCACAGAGTAAACAACTCAGCATTTCAGCAGCCAGCACCCAGACTTACTGGGAACATCACTTTGCTGACTGTGAGGAGAAGCTGGTGTTACAGGGCAGTGTTTTGCTATTTATCACCATCAGGACTTGTGTGTGTTTGAGCCTCCAGTTTCACAAAGAAAAATCTACGTGTCTTTTCACATCTGCCCCTCTTTCTCCAATCCTACATTCCCCAGAACACCAACAAGTCATCGGTCTTTGCCAAATGTTGGTGTTGAGGGGAGTGTTATTAAGTCAGTGTACCGGTTGATCTGACAAGAGTAGATGCATTAAAGACATCAGAGACGATCTGTAAAGGGAGTTTTGGGGAAACCTAGGGGAATAGGGCCAGCGTGGCTTTTCCGACTGCAAGTTGTTTTGTTCCAAAAGCTTTGCAATGGAAGGTCTGTACTATTGTTATCGATGCTTAGTGCATGACTGAATTTCTATATTTTTTTTCAAGCTCTGGCCTCATTCAACCTCAGTGAGCTTGCATGGGTCATTTAGAGTGAAAGCATGCTTGTAAGTAAACATTGATTCACTGTGTTAGACAAAGAAGAATGAAAATGAGAACAAATCACATTACATTTGCTTTGATGACTTGTTCATGTACCTTACTGGTGGACTCTCTATAAGCCCATATCTAAAACTCATCACAATAAATAAAGATCAGGGGGTGTTTTTTCTTTTTACAGAAAGAAATAGCAATTTGATAGCAAATCAAATGTGCAGAAATGTGACAGGTGCAGAAGTAATGCTTCAGCAGTCGTGCTGACCAGCGGGTCTCACTGATAGCCCTTTGGCAAGAGTCCCACGCTCTCCAGGCTAGCTGACCTGCTGAGACACACGCACAGCTCTAGTAATTGCTGGCATTTTGAGCTTTCCCAGATCCCTTTCCTCTGTCCATTGTTTTCTTCTCTCTATTGCTTTTTCTGAGTGATCTCGGCACAAAATTCCTGTCCTGATGACTGGATCAATGTGTACATCACATTTTCTCAGTCCAAGCTATAGGCACAGGCAAATATGTGTTCCAGGTTTGTTTTGTTCAGACAGCTGGAACTGACATTTTGGTTTGTTGTAAAACAGAGGCTAGGTACAAAATAGGAAAAAAATAAAGCTGCTACCCTACTTTTCTGTACCACCTCTGAATACTCACTCATATGCCCCTTGTCCTTGTCAGGAGTGACTCCTTCCCTTTTCTGCAAACCAGTCCATGAAGATTCCCCAGACACATCTCCTGCCGCAAATCTTCTCTGCGTCTCCAGCCATGAGCTGCACAGCCCTGATAATGAAAGAGTAACCGCTTATCATAGGCTTTATCACTGGTTCTATCTGCTCTGCAACATGGACCCAGGCCTTTGCCTGTGGTCTTTCCTTCTCTCTTGATCACACTGCTTGTAGGGCACTTGCTACAGCAGTGACTCAGGCTATGCCAGCACCGTACTGAAGTTTTGGAGGAGGTCAAAGCTTTCATGTTTCTGAGGGTCCTGTTCTTTCCCTGCATTTAGTTCTTTAAAAATTAATCTGGGAAGATGGAAGGCGTCATTGCACAACTTGCTTGTAAAGAGGACAAATAACAGACAACATCTTAGAGCAGCTCTACTCTAAACTGAGAGGAAATCAGCTGTGAGATACATTGAGCAATGTGGTTTTGAAACTGATGAGTTGACATCAGACATCCGTGTCGCATTTTTTAGATAAGTGTGACCTGTATGAAGCACTTTTAAAATAGCAGGACATCATTCAGACTCATTAATAGGTCTTGCTGTGCCAATGCAGTAACATTTCTCCCTTTATATTTTTAATCTTTTCTTTTAGAAACTCTCTAGAGGACTTTAAGTTGAACAAGAAGTGGGACAGCGCTGTAATTTAGCATCTGAGTCTTCTTTTTTTTCTGACACTTAGCCTATATTTTTCTTTTCTTAGTCCTATCCCATTACTCTTCACTATGAAGTATATCTCAGTGTCCCGATTATTCAACTTGCTTCGGACTTTCCTAGGACTTTTACAACACATGTTCACTTTTCTTCTCCCAGAGGGAATCTGAGATCAAGCCAAATCTCTGCCCATCTCTGTCCAGGGGAGGAGGCAGGAGGGCAGGCGCAGCGAGTGTAAAACACTTACCCTCCCCTAAAAATTCCGCTCTTTTTTTTAGCGTTGTGCATTATGTGAACAGTCCCTGGAAGGTTCCCGTCAGCGTTCCTAGGAGATTTTTGCAGGGGGTTGGAGAGTTTAGTGGTTTATTCAGAGGTGAGGGGATGTTGTCTACTTTGTACTTTATAATCTTCAGGAATTAGATTTTCATCCAGTTTTGCCAGGGGCAGTCTCAGAAGTGAGAAGGACCCAGCGAACGCTGGGAGGGTTAACCAGTTAGCTAAGGTGGCAGGAGTGTGGATGGTTAATACAGCCCTATCTTCTCCCAGGCTCATCAATCACTGGAGATGCACAGATTAACAAACACAGACAAAACCCTAAACTTAATATGGTTCACTTAAAAAATCCCATTACCTCTGAATTTCTCGTTTTCAGGTTTTTGACTCTTGTAATGCCACATTTCTGTTACTTCTCCAGACAGAGTGTCTCCTAGAGAAAAGTCTGAACTTTCCATGTGAAAAAACACGCAAGTTTTTATTTATGACACCCTCTGAGTCATCCTTAAATATCAAGGGCTAGGAACAAGGCTTTTTTTTTTCTCTTTACACAGAAAAACCTTCAAGAGCTAATTTGTAAAGTTCTTTTGTTTCAGACCACAGTCATTCTTCTGGGCTACCAACCGTCCGCGTTCACCGTGGTGATGGATAATGCCAGCGGAAAGCCACGGTAGCTTCTGCACTGTTTATCACAAGTGTGATGTTGACTTTCGTGTCAGTTCCAAAGTGGGGGGTGAAGCCTTAGCCCCATCACACAGTAGTGTCCATTTTCCCACAGACTGCTTGATACACAAAACACAAACAGTCCTCTTTTATCCGGAGAGGTAAAATAGGTTGAAAGGAACAGCTCAAGGGCTTAGCTTTCACGCAGACAGAGGAAAATAAACTAGAGGCTCAAAGTAGAGTAGATAAAAGAAGAGCAAACTGACATTGTTAAGAGCTAAGTCAATGAATGCTCGGAGCACTCAGCTCCTTGTAAGACATGGTCGAGCTCTGCAGAAATGATCCTGAACGATGAAATTCAGCCTTGGGCAGAAGACCAGGCAGGGTTTGTGAATCACTTACATCCCACTTAACCTGTGCGATTCCGACAGTGCGTAAGATGCATGCCAGATCTCTCCACAAGACCAAATTTTCACTTTATAATTTCCAGCAAAGAGTGAACAGTGAGACTTTAGTTACATTTAGCAGAGAAGGTGTGGTGGAGGCCGCTTTCTTACAGAGGCATGGCTGAATGTTTTACTCTGTTTATTTTTATTTTTAAGATGCTGGTCTGGTCAACAGTCTCTTGGTGTTTCCCCTGAGTGAGTCACTAAAAAGACATGTTGGTAGATAACTTCGCACCTGTAATTTCCGAGAGCAGGGAGCAACAAAGCAGTCTCCTGTGGTGCAGAAGTTCCTTTTGCTATCTGAACCAAGGGATTTAGATAAAATTTGCAAATGGAACACTTTTCTTCAACAGTTTAAGTGTGGCTGCCATAAAGATAGCATATCCAGAGTGGTTGGGGGGCGGGGGATTAGATTTTAAAAAGAAAACCCCTGTTGTGAAGAAGTGTTTTCCTACTGTCAGTGGAATTCAGACTCTGTCTTGCTGCCATGCTGGGAGGAGTGACTGCTCTGCTGGTTAATAACCCAATTCTTCGTTACTGAGCTGGGCTTCCTGGCAGCACTGCATCTCCTGTGCCACCCCAAGACACTCCTTGCCACCAGTGCTCCCTCTCTCCTTTGGGAGACAGCGTCAAAGTGCCCTAGAGTGAGAAAAACCTCTTCCAGCCCGTGACCTCTGGGAAGGAAACCAGATGTGAGATCCCCAGACTGTAGTTCTGAGGCACCAGAAGCATATCCAGATATGTTTCTGTTTGCATATTTCAGCCAAATGATTTATCTAACCGAGTAATGACATTTGGTTATAACATTTTTACTGTCTTTTGTTTCAAGGAAGGGAATGGACCCTCTTCCTAACAAATATTGACTTCCCTGCGAGGGGGGGGAGGTGAGCGGTCGCCGTACGGCTCGCGGCACAGACTGATGGGGTAGGGCAGAGTTACACTAATCTGTACGCAGTTCCCATTACAGTGCCACCCGTCCCATTACTGCAGCTGGAGAAGTGTTGCACCAGAAACAACAGTGTGACATTGGCCTGGAGGATGCCACCTTTGAGCCACAACCCGGTGGAGGGTTATATCTTGGAACTTGATGATGGAGATGGTGGCCAATTCCGAGTGAGAATTTCATTCAGCATTTATTTGTGTTTCTTTGTATGTGAGTTTCCTCAGGATATGGATTTGTGCCTGTCTGAGGGTGGGGAGAGAGGGTGGGGAAGATATGGGTTGTCAAAACATCCCTGTTTCTGTCGCGTGGATGTAGAAAGCAGTGCAGATGCTGGTTATTAGAAGGATTCTCAGCTTGGGTAGGATGTTTGGTTGAGGTTATTCTCAGGGCTCTGGTAAAGAGGGCCTTGAGGTCCCCCCTGGAATGTACCAGAGCAGAAAATCTCATACTAGCCTACAGGAGCTGAAAGTGGTTCATTCCACAAAAATGGGGATTTATTTGAAGCCGCTACTCTCATCTATCCATAGCACCTCATTTCAATAGCTGAGATTCTTGGTCCAGAAATTCAACTCAGTTTTTCCTGGTTTTCTGAGTAAAAATGAGATCCTACATAAAAATACAGGATTTCTAAATCTTTTCTCATGGAGTGGATGAGACCAGGCTGGTGGAAGCTTTCCGTGGACATGCGGCAATGGGGTTCGTAAGTATAGGAAGGCATCCCAAGTGCTGTCCTTCCATACCCTCAGGGTGATGCCACAACTGCTTGCTCTTGGCTGCAGGTGCCGGGTACTTATAGGCTCCTGTCCCTTCTTGCCACATCCCAATAAATAAACTACAGAAATAATTCCATCAGCTTTCTGCCAACCATGTCCTGCTGGAAGCTGTAGCCCTTCCTCTTCAGGCAGGCTTCATGCTCCTGTTGTTCCAGGAGCAGGCTGGCCCAGTGCATTCCCTAGGGGCTAATGCCTTGAAAGCATCTGGAGATCATTGTAGAGTACAGCTGCTCTCTTCACAAATGGGAAATTTTGCCAAAAACATGTGATGGCATTTCTTCAGGAGCTGCAAACTAGCTTCTCACTGGAAACCTAAAGGTTTCTCAAGCTGAAAGTGGCTTTGCATGGGTCCACCTAAGGAACTGCCTCCTTGTGCCAAACCACTACACCCATAGCCAGCAAAGGCACCTGATTTGGGTGCCCCACATTAGAAGAGACAGCGATATTGTCAAGGCATTTTGAAGATGGCACTGTGTTTCTGGAAGATCTCCTCAGTTCATTGGTCCAAGTACTATTTCACATGGGCTTGGAGAGGCTGGTGTCCACTACTCAAAGTATGAAAAGGTACCTTTGTGAGTGGCTGCTGATACAGTTAATATTAGTAGGTAATAGTGTTATCAGTGCGTGACGAATGAAGAGTCAGGAACAAGGTGTTATGAATTCCAGTGTCTTGGATAAACCTTTTCAAGTGCTATTCACATCTAAATAAATACTTGTGAAGGAACAAGATTTCAGGCTGGTGCGTATCCAAACCTGTATGGGGAGTTTTGTAACTGCCAAAGGTTTTAGGACTGCCAGCACTGCCATGTCAAGATTTTGGATTGAAAAAGATACAAAACTATCTCAATCCTTAGAAATCTAAGGTGACAGCTTCTCCAGGGTATGCTTTGCTTGCTGTGCTAGAAACACCCTCAGTTTTACCCATTGAAAGATAAACTACAGGCTTCTCAGCCATGCTGTTTCAGAAAGAGTTTGCTGACCCTTTTCATGAAGGATTATATATATGAAAGCAATGACACTGCACTTTATCAGTATTTGGTGGGTGTAAAGAATAGTTTTTGTCTCCCATTGTAGCAGAGAACATCAATCTGGATAAACACAAGCAGTGAACAGTGGTAAAAATATGAAATGGATTAGAAAATGTGAGAGTTGGCCTACAAGTACAACTTCTTGCACAGACAGCATATGTTATAACATGGAGATAAATTAAATTACTCTATTAAAACTTATTCTCTCTGTGAAAGATCATCAGCTACCTTAGGACCCAAGAGATTTTGTTATTTGTAGCAGCCGCCATGGTAGCAAAGTGGACAAACACATGGCCCTCGGTAAACTTAAGTAATCCCTTTCTTGTTCATCACATACTTAATTCACTTTAGGTTCCTATCGAAGAGCCTTAATCAACAGGACTACTCTTAGGCATATACTTAAGTGTCTTAACTGAACTGGGGCCTAGGTGACCTGCTTAGTCACAACTTTAAGCTCTTTAGGGCCTTTGCTACCATAAATCTATGGATTTCACAGAATCAGAGAAATCGGAGGTGGAAAGGAATTGTGGTTTCCAACTTGCTGCCAAGACAGGACTTTTTCCTTTTCTGTCATTTTCTGTTCAGTTTTCCAACAAACATGATGTTTCTAGGCTTCTTTCAGTTCATCATAGACTGTATAAGCTGGCTGATCCTCTTCATTAGTCTGCCTAGATGTTCCTCCTCCTGAAATACTTCATATTACATAAGTGCTTGCTGTTCAATAAATCTTGGTAGACTTTTATTGGTAGACTCTGTTGTCGAGTTGCTGTTTCATCATGTGATCCATGTGATCCTAATCTTTAGGAGATCAGTTTCTTCTGGCTCTGTTTGCAGGTTTCAGAATTATATTTTTAACGCAGGCATGAGACAACCTTTACAAGAGAATACAACTGTGCTTACTTGGTTTCTTTATTCTTACATGCCCCCTTTTTTTAGTCCTACATAAATATAAGAATGGCCACAGTGGGTCAGACACTGAGACTGCTATCCAAAATAATGTTTTGGAGTAG